AAAAAAAAAAAAAAAAAAAAAAAAACATAAAAAGAAATCAGATGCATACGAAAAATCCGGAAAGCATCTTTCGTCGCTGTAGCCCATATGCATACCACAGTCAAGCATAATGTTTCGCCCACCAATCGACAGCAAGATGCAACTCCGTCCAACATCCTGACCGGCACCCAACGGCACCACCTAAAAAAGCAATGGACAGGATGTTAAAGAGTTCACTTGACCTATCAAAATTTTTTCTGGTTTACCATCCCATAAAAGGCTGCCTTATGAACAGCAGTATTAGGACGCATAAAGAATAGATGAGTAAACTCCAAATAAAGCAGTTCTCATCCCTCAAATATAAAGAAAAAGAAATATGGCATAATTTGAGCAGGCTGACGACAGAATTATAAAAGTGACGAAAGAAAAAAATATGACTTTGATAAAGTGAAAGACTTACAATAATCCTTGACATTCTGGTTCACATTAGACGGTTCAGTACGGACCAATTAAAATTCTGCAAATTTTATGGTATTTAATCAAAAGAAGGTTCAGAATAAGGGTAAATTACGAAATTATACGGACAAGAATTACTAAAATTAATAGTGAAAAGTATCTAAAAAGATGTAAGAAATGCCAAAAAGAAAAAAAAGCATCGTAATAACACCGATTAATGACCACAGTTCCAACAATTATTGTTGCAGCGGATACTGAAATAATCATCGGATACCTATCTATATTTGCTCCTGCCAAAAAAACGTTCTTCTATTATTATCAAGTGCTTTTCCCATACGTATGGGCCACTGCAATTAATATGAATGTCAACAATGTTAATGTGGTTTACAGCTAAAACGTGGACACCAAAGTAAACCAAACTATTATATATAATCATGCTAATAGCTCCCCATAAGTACCAGTGTGCTTGAAATGAACAAGCATATTCAACATAATAAGACAGGTAACTTTTAAATATCAAACTTCTCAATCCGCTTCCCCATCTCTTCAGCCAACTATAATAAACCGTTTCAGTTTTGATTATCATACAGTAACTTCTAATAAATTTTTGGAAAACCGCAGAGGCAGCAATGAATAAACGACAATCATGGCAATACAGTTGCCAGCATAATATACTTGCAAATTATGCATTTGCGGGTTAGCATCTCATTGAAAGATCACTGCGAAAGTGGTCAACATCAATAGCATCCTGTGAGTGTCAAAATTATTCTTCAAGAAAGCAACTGACCTGCAGATAAATAGCTGGTAAGTTATCCCAGAAAACTCGCTAACATTTGAAGTATCTTTTTATTGCGCAAAATTCAACGGAAAGTTGTCCACCACA